GAGTGTATCCCTGCTGTGTGTAAATGCCATTCGGGCTTGGGGCTGGGCAGTGTGTCAAGTGTTGCATCTCTGTGCACAGTTGTTTTGCACAGCATACCCCGTCCCTTGCCTGGTATGGGGCAGGCACACAGCATTCTCACTGGAGGCAGTCCCAGAGTGCATGGGGCCATCTGGTCTGCAGTTCCTAGCGGTTATTGATGGTGGTATTTAATTCCTCTTTTCCTGTCAGAGGTCTCCATAGAACTTTTCTGCAGGTGACCACATCTTTCATGCCCTTTTTCATGAGACCCATAAAATCAGGGAGAGCCTGCGTAGGATGAAGGTCAACAGCTGTCTGGGTGCCAGGGTGAGCCTGGGAGCTTGGGAAGATGGTTTTGGAACAGAAGGAGCAGCTCTGGTGTGACGGTGGCTGTTCAGAACCTTTTTGGTGTACTCTCCTGCAGCTGCCAGCATAAGACTGTGCTATGTGACAGTCATCCTAGGAATGATACTTTGCCCAGGGCTGGCATTTTTCCTCCATGCGATGTAACTCCTTACTCAGAGTGATTTCTCACTCTCTGTTCCTTCCTTGGTGCTCCCAGCAAAGGTATTTCAGCTGACATGTGGAGTGAAAATGTTTATTCTCCTATGATTTCAGCAGGAGGTGCCATGCGAGAAATGATTCAACAGCATCCTGGTCTGCATTAGAAATATTGTGGCCAGCAGAATCAGGGAGGTGATCTTCCCCCCGTACTCAGCACTGGTGAGGCTGCACCTTGAGTACTGTGTTCAGTTTTGGGCTCCTCACTACAGGAAAGATGTTGAGGTCCTGGAGCGTGTCCAGAGAAGGGCAACAAAATTGGTGAGGGGTCTGGTGCACAAGTCTTATGAGGAATGGCTGAGGGAGCTAGGAATGTTTGGTCTGGAGAAGAGGAGGCTCAGGGAGACCTCATTGCACTCTACAACGTCCTGAAGATAGGTTGTGGTGAAGAGGGATTTGGCCTCTTCTCCCAGGGAACGAGCACGAAACGGGGTAATGGCCGCAAGTTGTATCAGAGGAGGTTTAGGAGGGACATAAGGAAGAATTTTTTTCTCTCATAGAGTGGTCAGGCACTGGAATGGCCTGCCCAGAGAGGTGGTGGAGTCACCATCCCTGGCAGTGTTCAAGAGGCATCTATGCGTGATATGGTTTAGTGCTTGTGGTGGTAATGGTGATGAGGAGACCGTTGGACTAGATGATCTTATAGGCTGTTTCCAACCTTATGATTCTATGATCACTGCACTCCATCTTTATTCAAGGGAGGTACTGAGGGGCCACATTGTCAGTCAGTGTTGTACCATGTAATGCTTCAGGGAGACAGAAGTCTCCCTGCCACAGTGAGAAGGTGCTGCCAGCCCTTCCAGCCTGTGCAGTGGCTGGGCCATAGTGTGCCCAGTACTTCTGAAGGACCCCCAGCAGCAGGCACCTTTCTGTCAACCCCCTGTGAGCAGCATGCTGGCAAGGGTCCTTGCAGGCTGCAGCAGCAGCAGTGAGTCCACTGGTGAAGCAGGCACGGCCTCACCCTGGGAAGGACAGTCTTGCCTGCACAGCACTGCCCACGTGCACTCTGACCTACTGTGTTGTGTGGAGCAGTGTCTGCGGGCACAGTCCTAACCCAAAGAAAGGAGCAGCTCAGGTCCTCATGAACAGATTGTTCTTTATTGGGTCATTAGCATAAACATACAGCATAGCAACTCGGTCCCTCTGCAAAGTCTGCTGCTGCTGCTGTTGGGACACACAAGGCCAGAGAAGCGGGTGATGGATAGCCACAGAGTCACAGCTGTGAGCAAATCAGCTGTTCAGTGGGTCTGCTGTGCTCATGCAGCCTGTGATGTGACATAGTGTCATTGCAGTGGGGTGCAACATCACCTTCTGTGCTGTGTGAGGAGGAGCCGTTCTGGGACGTGTTCAAAGCATTGTGTTTGATCTACCACAGACTTTGTCTGTGGGCTGTCCTCGTGGGGGCTTTGAGGTGGTGGGGCAACGTTCCTGCCACTGGTTTGAGTCGGGGAGGTGTAAAGGAGCAGACTGGCTGAGGAGCACAGCAGTGAGGTTTTGTGCCCCTCAGCGGGGGATAGCACAGAGCTGGTAGTAGGGAGGAACATTTCCTGTCCCACTCAGTGTTGGGGTGATGCTGAGTTCCTCAGGGCTGACAACAGGCTTCACGGTGAAGTTCTGCAGGATGGCGGTCAAGACTAAGAATATCTCCATGCGTGCCAGGCCCTCTCCAGGGCAAATTCGTTTCCCTGGAAGCAAACACAACCAATAGCACTGAGCAGCTGATGTTGAGCGGCTCAGTGTTTGTACTAAGCCCACGTGTTATGTATGCAGCTAAAGCACACGTTGACTAGATGCAGCCGCAGCAGCGAGGTGAGTGGAAGTTAGGCTGGGTGTGTGATGGCAGAACAGGAGCAGGAGAAGTGTTGAACACAGGAGGAGGCGCGGAGGGGATGAGAGAGTGAGGTGATGCAGAGGATGGTTGAGAGTGGAGGGTTGGGGCTTTTGGACAGCGGGTGTCTGCCCGTGGCCTACTTAAGAGGAGCGTGGGAAAAGTGTAGCTGCCGTGGAAAGACAGGTTGGTTCAGGCTGGCTTTGATGGTTGCGTATGAAGGTGACATCTACTTTAGAAAATGAGAACGGGTCCGCTGCGTGTCATTCCATCAGCATCGCCCAGCGGGGGTTTTGAAAAGCTGTCAGGCCCTAACCAAGGTGTCCAATGTGGCTGGGGAAGAGATCAGCTGAGAGGAACTAAACAGAGTGCAGTGATCCCTGAGGAAGCGCTGGCAGGACTGGGCTGGGAGCATGTGTGGTCACCTGAGCAGGAGGACCACAGCTCCTGAGGGAGGAAGGCTGTGCCTTACCTGCTGAGAAGGGAATGAAGAACTCGCTCTTCCTAAAGGTGCCATTCTGGTTCAAGAAATGTCCAGGATTAAACTCAGTTGGGTTTGGAAACTCCTTGCTGTCATACAGTGCGGTACTGAGGAGGGGATAGATGGTGGTACCCTGCAGTGACACGAGAAGAGCAGACCATGAAGGGGAGCGGCGTTGGGCCACTTAATCCTGCTGCCTGCCAAGCTACGGCTGGACTTAGTGGTACGATTGTGTCAGAAGACATGAAGAAATGTGAGCACAGTGGCCCAGGCTCTAGTGGATTGTGGTGAGCTTGATGCCTGTGCGAGGTGACACAGCTATGTTTTGTTGTGAGCTTTGCGTGTTTCCCCTAACAGGCCAGTGTACAGAGCAAGGGAGTAGAGGAGTTGGACAGAGCTAGTGTTCCAGTCTGGGCCCAGGGAGCAGCAACAAGGCATTGCACGGAAGCTAGCAAAACCCCAGGGATGTGAGGATAGAACGTTTATGAAGGCCTGAATGTGGACAAGGTCTGGCCCCAGCATTTCTTGCTCCTGGCCTTGGTTTGACGGCCTGACAGCAATGGTGCTGCCGCTCTGTTGCCAAACCGGAGGGAGCTTGCCTGCTAACCTTGGGAATGATGTAGTCTCTCAAGTGGATGTCTTTAGTGACTGCATGAGGGAGGCTTGTAGGGATGAGGGTGATGAAACGCTGGATTTCATGGACCACTGCATCTGTGTAGGGCATCTGGGTCCGGTCAGCCACGCAAGGTCTTCGTGATCGTCCTACTACCCGATCAATCTCTTCTTGAACTTTCTCTGTTGTGAGAAGCACAGCCAATA